ATTCTCTCACCTAGGGTAAATCTAGAATTAACCATGTCATTCAAACTCGCATAGAAGTCATCAAAGGTCTCATCATCCTTCATCATAATCTCTTCAAACATAGTGATCAACATCTATAACTTAGAATTCTTAACTGTTCGAGTTTCCTCATGTGTGGTTTGTAAAATGTTACATACCTCTTTAACAACTTCACACATAGAAACATGTCTAAATTCTTCAGGTGATACAGCTATAAATAGAACATGAAATCCTTTACTATTCCAATTATACTCATCTAAATCTTTATTAGACCAAGTTGAAATATGAGTAGGAGTAACTACACCTGCAACTATGGTAGATGGGATGGTCCAACCATTCATTACGCTCAACCAAATACGTTCATCTATCGATTTCAAGAAAACTCTTATTCTAACTTTCCAATAGGTATAGTTATTATCATCAAAATATGGCGAAATAGACAATAAACTACTCATATAGAAAACTAGGGTTAGGAATCAAATTTGGGTTCTGATACCACTTTAAAGTTACTAGTTCAACTCTGAAATCACATAATAAGTGAATAACATAGAATTAAATTTGTCAATTAAAAGCAACAAATCACTTTTTGATTGTTCTATATGTTTAGTCAACCAAATTAATTTTATCATTTGTTAAATTGTTACAATAATAATTAAAGCAATAAATAACACAAGATTTGATGACAGAAAAAATTCATAATTGGGTAAAAACTTCGGGACCAAGCTAGTAACTTCCACTATATACAATAAAAACTTATAGTATGATCCAACCTAGAAAACACACTAGACTTATTGATCTAATTCCTTCAATCTCCAAAATTCGCTGGAACGTGCTTCACTCACACCTGCTTCCGATCTTCTGGAATTGTTTATCTCTTGTAGATCACCAAAAATACCTTGTTTTTTTACTCTTCATGTACTTGTAGTCAACATTCCTCAATTTTCAGCAACGTTTGAAAGTCATTGAGAAAATACCTTCCTAATGATATATAGGAAGTTAGTATTTTGGATTATAAGAATTCGATGTTTTTCGCAACTTGTGGTTGATTGATCTTAAGAATTAAAAGGTTAATCTTAATATCTAGATGTGCTCTTGGATCTTGGAATGATAATATGAAGATGTAAAACAATGATCAACCACACACAAAAATATACTGGGCCTGGGCTTTTTGTAATAAGAGGTATTTAATTAGTATAAGATAGATAGAACTCTTGAAAAACACAAAGTAGGATTTTTAGGAAAACAATATTGCTTGAGCACCATGCTAGCGACAGATGAGTGAGAGGTGTGTCGCTTGAGCGACAGGTGGGCGACAATGATTCTGCTTTTTCAGCTCGAGCATCAGCTAGACGATATGCTAGCGTAAATCTGACGACTCTTTCTCCTTATTCCATACTTAAAACTAAAGACTCCTAATTCATTTATACAACCCTCCAAAAGTCTCATTAACTTTTATAACCCTTTTATACCAATCTCATTCTTTTATAATAATCTTTTTGTCTAAAGAATTACCAATACAACATAAATCCTAACAGAGCATTCTTATTTAATCTTTGTTTGGTCCTCGTTTTCTAAAATTTATTTTTCTACATTTTTATGGGATTTATAGCTTTTATCAATTTTTTAACTATATATTTAATCAATTTTTATCAAAACATACTAAAAATATAATTTTTAGCTAAACCAAACGAGACTTGATGTCTAGTTTTTGCTACACTCTATTCAAGAATATTTGCAATCTTTGATGTCCCAATTTCCATATCTCATTCACTCTAGTACTTGTGCCTGTGCCAAGTTGACTTGAGCTAGTAGATGGACCGAACAAGCAACGACTACTCTTGCATCTTATCAAACCCACAATTTTTTGGGATATTTTTCAAACTAGCCGGGTATATTGAATCTTGTTGGGTTTTTATAAAAAAATCTATTTAACCCTTAATGAAATGAATTTCTTTATTGCAAAACATACCTTCTTTTATGAATAGTTTTTAGAGATTAGTCTCTTATATAAACAAGTTTATTCTTTGATCCAATAAATTAGTATATTTGGAGTTTCTTGTTTATATTCT